CCAAAGGTAGATGCGTAAGTTTCTTCTAACTTGTATAAAAATGAAATCCCTTGCCTCATGTCATGCACCGCACAACCCACCACTCTTTCAGATACAGACGCATCCGTCGAGTACAGGTGAAAACCTCTATTCTCTAACCTACTCTTTTCCCCATAGTATAAAGCCTTCAGTTGTTCACTCGAAAAATTAGCTTTGGAACCTTTTAGCCTCGAGGAGACCAAACTCAGTTTCTCGTGTCTGCTAAATAAAACATTAGTATTCAACCCATCAAAGTAAGATTTGAACTTTTTGTATGTGTACCCGTAACTCGATTTCCTAGCATAGCTTTCCTCAACCTCTCTTTTCAAACTCGAGTTGATAAACCACTGCTTTGACATTTCTCTCGGCGTTAACCATATAGTTCTTTTCTGCGGTGGAAGCTCACATGCAATTGCATATCTTGCATAAGTCGGCGTGTTTGGCGGAACCCCTAAACATCTTCTTAGAGAGTCATTTAATATGGTGCATAGCTGCTTATTATACCCCTCGGGCATGTTAGCAAAAGTGGTATTAGCGTACTCTGCTTTTGATCGAACAAATGATTTGTACAGCTTTAATCCTACCATCGGGGTTAACCCAGCTTTTATAGATGTAATTCTTGCCAGCCAATTTTTTCCCGGCACAATAGATTTCTTGACATTTCCTATGTGCTCTTTAATTGTGGAATTAGCGCTTATTACCCATCCTAACCATCTAATTTTTTCCACTTGCTCCACATTGCAACCATTTACTCTCACATTAAACTGTTTTCTTCTACCCATCGTCATAACCATACATTTTGTTTTATTTAAGTTGAACTTGAGACCCAACGATTCACACAAACTTTGCATTTCCGTAATTTTATTAGTAAACCCATTACTTGCTACCTCCTCATTTCTGCTGTGCGTTATTATAGCAAAGTCATCCGCATATTGAAAAAGATGAGTATTCTCATTACAGACAGAGTGCAGTTTTGCGGTATAAATGTTGAATAATATCGGAGAGAGACAGCTTCCCTGTGGCAATCCATTGTTTACTTCGACAGAGCATTTACCCAACGTAAGAATTCGCTTGGAAAAAAGATTTATAATCCAATCACAAATTTTTGGATTCATGCCATGTCGCATAAGTATCCTATGCAACATAACTAAATCCACGCAGTTGTACGCATCAGAGAGATCTATTACCCCCAGAAATACCTTTTCACTCCTGCACTTCCTATCTGCTATCAATTGAAGCGCTTCATTCATGCACATTGTTGCAGAACGCTGCTTCCTGTATGCAAAACTTCTTTGCGGTATTATGTTACCATCCTCCACAAATTTCATAATTTCTTCTTTAATTAGCATATTAATACATTTGGCTACAACTGAAATTAGGGAGATGGGACGATAATTGCAAATATTTTCACGATCCCTACCCGCTTTTGGAATAGGTACTATTATTATATTTCTCCACTCTTTTCTTACTATGTTTTTATTGAAGTGCTCCTCCAATGAATTCACAAACGCTTTTTTTGCCTCTACCGTCAAATTCTTTAACATTTCATATGTAACATTATCCATACCTGCTGCAGTCAATTTTTTTTTGCTAATTAGTAACTCAAAATCTTCATAAGAAAAATTTACCTTAACATTCGCCACTTTTTGTTGTTCAGTTATCATTTGAGCCCTATCCACAGTTGCCCCCTCAACCTGTCGAACCTGATCCTTCAGAAAGCTCAGAAACTGCTCATTGTTCTCATCCTCCCAATTGCTACAACAATACTCTGTTCCACCTTTCATGTTGCCAATAAATTTCCAGGCCTCTCTTGAATTCGAATTACAGTTGATTTCATCAATTTTCCTCTTGAAACTGCTACTTTTAGCCTCTTTTACCTTCTTTTTCCACTCTGCCTCTAACCTCACTGCTTCTTCCATATCCTGCACCTCATTAGATTTACTGGCTTTTTTCCTTGCTATCACAAGAAATCTATACATTTTTCCCATTTCATCATTCCACCATGCTTTCGGCGTGTGTTTGTACCTATTTAAGTCAATTGTTGCTTCTATCCTTGCTTTTTTAACTCCTGCCTCAAAATTATTCATAGTTGTAAAATTAATCTTTTTGATATTACTAAGTAGCTTATTTTTTGAGATGAAGTTGTTAGGTAACTTACCTATGTTATCTATCTCAATTACAATTGGTAGATGATGACTACCACCCAAATACGCTCTATGACAACACCACCTAATATCATTTGT